GAGAATCAGGAGTATTATGTGGAACAGAAAACTGACAACAACGGCTGGTTATGATGGTAAAACGACCCGCCAGTCAGCCAGCCAGCCGTTCAAGAGCTGTGCATGCAGCCTGGGTCGGGCCCCTTCCTGGGGCCTAGGCTGCGCGTGCCCAGGACACGAGGGCGCACCAGCCCAGCAGCACCATCACATATGCATCCAAGTGGCGCCTATGAATGGGAGCAGGGGGAATACGACTGGGCGAGAGCGGGCGCTGCGCATGCTCCTCTCAAAGTCAGCTCCCGCCGTCGACAATGGGCAGCCGCAGGACTGGCGGGAGCGCGCCGCCAAACAGCGACGCGTGCTCAGCGCGGCACAATGTAGTGTTTGAAAAACCAGTGTGAGTCCGTCCGGGTGGTGGCACGCTGTTGCGGCGCCCCGCTATGCGCGCTGGGTGCAGCGGCAGGGAGCAGTGTCGCACTCGGTTCCAAAGCGTGCGTGTCGCACGGGCACCCCACAAAGCCGCGAGTGCGCATTCGCGATGTCGATTGCTTGTATATTGACTCAGCAACCTTTCATTACGCTTGCAATTCAAACCCATTCGATGCGCGGGAACTGATCTTTTGATCCACAATCATGGGGGACGCGGGCCTCGACGGCCCGCCGGTGGGCGGGAGGATAGACAGGATCGTGGTGGAGAACTTCAAAAGCTACAAGGGCCGGCAGATCATCGGGCCCTTCAAGAGCTTCACCGCTATTATAGGCCCCAACGGCAGCGGCAAGAGCAACCTAATGGACGCCATCAGCTTCGTTCTGGGCATCCGCACGCAGCAGCTGCGCGGCTCGCTCAAGGAGCTCCTCTACAGTGCGGGCGACGCGGCGCCGGGCGGCGGGGGGTCGCGCGACCAGGAAGCCGCGCGCCCGCGCCGCGGGTACGTGCAGCTCGTATATGAAACAGAGGGCGGCGAGGAGGTCACGTTTGCGCGCGGCATCCAGCAGGCCGGCGCGGGGCCGGACGCGGCCTACCAGAGCGTTTACAAAATCGACGACAAAACAGTCACATGGGACGCGTACTCGCAGCGGCTGGGCTCTTTTGGCATCCTGGTCAAGGCGCGCAACTTCCTTGTTTTCCAGGTGTGGGAGTTTGGTTGTCAAGCCTGGCCTATTGGGCCGGCGGCGGCAGGCGGTTTTGGGGGGGGGTGGTGCGGGGCTTGGTTTGGGCAGGTGCGGCAGCTACTCGCATGCGACCCAGGCGAAGGCGGGACATGCCTTCCATACGTTGGGGGCGGGGGAGGCAGCGGCGCAGCGCAGCGAACAAACCTACGACATACATGCCGCAGCTGCAGCAGCGCGCATGGCGCAGTGCGCGCCACGTCCGCCATGCGCTGCACCGCGCCGCCGCATGCACTTGCATGCATGCAACCCGCTCACGCCCATGCATGAACGCATGCGCTCATGCGCTCATGCGCACATCCCCGCCACTCATGCGTCAGGGCGACATCGAGAAGGTGGCCAGCCGCAGCCCCGAGGGCCTCATGCAGCTGTTTGAGCAGATCAGCGGCAGCGAGGCCTATAAGAAGCCCTATGAGGAGGCCGAGGCCGCAAAGGTGTGTGTGGGGGCGGCTCAATACAAGGCGCCGGCCATGGCGGCACCTGGTTGGGGGCGCGCAGCCGGGTGCGGTATGATTTGTGGTTACAGCTCGGTCGAAGCGCGGCTTGCCGAGCCGGCGGGGGCGCGTGCGGGCACGAAGGGTCGTCGGGCGGCTGGCGCCTCCGCAACGGCCTGGCATGGGCATAGTGGTTTTATGTGCTTCGGCACGCCGAGCTGTGCAGCTGCGATCGCGGGCAGCCGCGTGCGCACGCTCGTGCGCGAATGTGGCTGTGTCCAGGTTATCATGGGCGTCGTCAAGCAGGGGCCAGGTGCAGATTTTGTTGGTGGGTTTTTCAGGAGACTGAGTGCTTTGAACGGGACGCATTGGCGGCTCTTTCAGGTCACCTTGGCCGCCGCCCCGCCCCTGGCCGCCCCCATCCCGCGCCTCTTTCCCCCTACCGCAGCGTCGCGCCGAGGAGAAGGCTGCGGGCGTCTTTGCGCGCAAGAAGGGCATCCAGCAGGTGGGGGGGCCGCTGCACAAGAGGGACAGGGTGCCGAGCGGCCCGGCTGGCGACCACAGGCTGCACCTGCCTCTTTGGCACGGCCGCCCCTTGCGCATGCAATGGCCGGTCTTGGCGGGGTGGATGACGTTTCCGCTTGTCCTTGTTTCCTGTTGAGAGCTCTGTGCACATGGTTGCTGCACGGACGTCTGATCCCAGCCTCGCACCACCGCCGCCGCCGCCGCCGCGCGGCATCGCGCGCGCACGCGTCCAGGAGCGGCGCCAGAAAAAGGAGCAGAAGGAGGAGGCTGAGAAGTTCCTGGAGCTGCAGGAGCAGCTGGTGGGGGCACGCGCGCGCGTGTGCGTGTGTTATCGTTTGTGTTGCATGTGTGATGGTTTGTGTGCGATTATGTGTGTGTTTGTGTTTTGTGTGTGCATGCGTGCATGCATGGGCGTGAACCTCGTCCACCCCTTGAAGATGAATCGCAACGCCCAGATCCGCACACACACACACACACACACACACACACACACACGCATGCTCGTATGCACGCACGTTTTCCATCCGCAGAAGGAGCGGCGCGCCTACTACTACCTGTGGCAGCTGTACCACCTGTCGCAGGACGCTGACGCAGCACGCGCGCAGCTAGCAGAGG